TTGTTTATATAAAACAGCATGGTGTTTGCCTAGAACCTATATGATCTTTCTATATTATTATTATCATCATCATCATCATCATCATCATCATCATCATCATCAGGTAAGGTCTTAACTAGACATCCCAGACTGGCCTCAACCTTGTGATCCTCCTTTCTCCTCCTCCTAATGGTTTGGGTTACAGGAGTATGCAGCTGCACTTGGTTTTTCCTCTACACTTTAATTCATCTCTAGATTCCCTATAGTACCTAACGCAATGCAGGTACAATGTAGATAGTTGTACTGTGTCGTTTGGAGACTCAAAACGTCTATACATCCAGTTCAGATGCAACTTTCTTCTATTGTTCTCAAGGAGATAGAGATCAAAACCAGTCTTGAAGTATACCAACCCTAGGAACCCTTTTCTTCCAAAGGTATTTAATATATTTTAAAATATATTTAATTAAATAATATACATTTAATGTATTTTTAATCCAAGGTTGATTGAATCAGTGGACATAGAACCCATACATATGGAGGCAGGCTGCTCAGAGTCAGGTCAGTAAAGCAGGAAAGGAGGTAATGAAAGTTCTAGTTCTGCCAGCCTTCAGCTGTGGGGCTTCACCTGTGCAGCTCCATTCCTGGGTCATAAGGACTGGGGAAGACACCCTGACAGTAGAGCAGACCAGCTGTGAAGCACACAGCAGCACACAGCAAGACAAGGCTGGAGGCTCTATCCTAGGTAGAGGACAGCGGGGCAAAGATGTGGGGCTTGGGGAATAGTGGTTTCTCTGGGGGACTTGGAGACTACTGGGGAGGTGGTAAGCTGGGGGCAATGAGGGCCTAGTCGTGGCGTCCCCCCTCCCCCCATCAGAAAGCCTGCCGCAAGCCATTGCAGGCAGAATGGTGCTAAGACTCTTGGGTGAGCATGGCGAGTGCAGATATTATTTTAATCTTCCTCTTATAACATAATTGCTTTCTGTCTCCTGGTGTTCCTGGAGAGACTTCCCTCCCAGAGAGATGGCTTTCTAGGCTCCTCTCTCTGCCAGGAGACAAGACAGCTGGGCCAGCTCCATGCTGCATTAACACACTGCAAATGTGATTTCATGGCTTCAAATGAGATTAGGGCCAAAGGCTCTGCTCTCTAGTGGAGGCAGCAGGCAACGTGGGCAGGAATAGCCAGTGCTGAGCTGAAGGTCTGAGAGAGAGAGAGCCATTCCAGGCCCAGGCTGCCTGACTAAGCAGCTCCCTATAGCTGGAGCTCCTCAGCCCTTCTGTTTTTATCCTGACTGCAGTGCCAGCCTTAAAATTGTCCTGAGGTGGGTACTCTGCGCTTTAACGCCCCACTATTTCCAGGTCACCTATATTTCAGTACTTATAGTCAGCACTTTAGTAAGGGAGGATGAACACAAATTCGTCAGCGTGGCTTCAATATTCTCAACCTCCTCCCCCTCTTCCTCCCTTTCTTTTCCCTCCTCCTCTTCCTTTTCCTCCTCCTCCTCTTAACATGTAACTCAGCCTAGGCTTAAGCATGATATATAGCCAAGGATGACTTTGAACTTCTTATCCTCCTTGGCTCTACCTCCTAAGTGCTGGGATTACAGTCTTGTGCCACCATGCCCAGTTTTATGCAGTGTTGGGGACAGCATTGTAAATGCTAAGCGAACACTCTACTGATTGAACTACATTCCGAGCCCTAATTCCCTTGTCTTTAAAATGAGAACTACAGAACCAGGCATGGCAGCACACACCTGCAATCCCAGAGCTTAGAAAGCAGAGGCAATAGAAGCACCACAAGTTCAAGGCCAGCCTGGACTATATAGGGAGTTCTAGGCCAGTCAGGGCTACATAGCAAAGACTTGTCTCAAAACAACAGTAAATGAATAGGAACTATAGAGAGGATTAATCTATACAAAATGCATAGACCTATTCTGTGACCTTCCAGGTATCCACTAAATGTTAGTCATTCTTCTGAGATTCACAGATGCTTTCCACTCTTGTGGGGAGAGAGGCACCAAAGGGTCACACTAGGGAAACAGACATCACTCTCCCAGGCTAACGCAGAAGAGGGGAGAAAAGTCTTCAATGCTGACGTCACTCCTCACTCACCAAGCACCTACCCAATACAACCTTTGTGCTGTGCTGTCCCACGAGATGTAGCTTCCCCTGGCATGGTCCCTGCCCTCAAGGGAGACAAACCCTGTCCTAAGGAAGTATATAGTGGGCCATGAGCTCTGGCAGGGCTTGTTTATGGGTTGTGGGTCTGAGACAATTACGTGGGAAAGGGAGTGGGGTCAGGTTTCAGGGAAGATTTGGTGGTGGATAACCATCTACGACTTCAGCTGGGGAAGGACAATCAGACAGACAGAGCAGAATATATATATATATATTATATTATAATATACATATTATAATATTATATATTATATTATATATTACACATACACACACACACACACATATATATATAGTCCCCAAGGCTGAAGAGACCATTGCCCGCTCAGGGGGGCTGGAGGATAGGTATGAGATAGGGCTGGATGGAGGAGAGGAGGACATTCTCGGGGCATACAGGCCAGACTGGTGGAAGAGGTGAGACTGAGTGGACACATAAACATGCTGAAGACTGGCTGATCCACAAACACCTTCCGCTGAACAGACACCCCCACCTTGGCCGGGCACCTGCCACCTCTGCCCCTTCCTAATGGAAGGCAATAGTGGGTAGCTTCCTCATTTACCCTTTATTCAATCGCTTGTTAACGAGTTATCGATTCTCTTAAAAGAAAAATGTTCAAAAGCCACGCTGCATCTTTAGCAAAGTGATTTATGAGTTGGCAGTGGGACCTGAGCTGCCTTAGATGGGAGCTCTGGTTACTCAACACTGGGAAGAATCTTCCAACAGGGCAATCAATCAACATGCCTGCTAAGCAGATGGAAGCAGTACTAGCCAACGTGAATATCACTCTCTTTGAGGTCAGCCCTGTATCTGCTGGAGACAAAGCCAGGGCCATGGGTGCTCTCCATCACATAAACTGGTAGACATGAGAGGGAGCCCTTCTCTGGGCTGCCCAGTTCCTCCTGGCCCCCATTCTCTTGTCTAACACTCTCTGTCCCTCTGAATGGAGTCATCCAGCACAGCACAACTGGGGTTGCTAAGGTCAAAGTGACTACTGAAAACCAGGGCTAAAGATGGGCCCTGCAGATTCCAAGATGTCATGTATTTTGTGGCTAACGTCTCTCCTGCTTACTTGCTAGTGTTTGGTCTAATTGTCCTGGGGTCTGGCGGCCACTGAAACAGGGACCACAAGACACAGTCATAGAAACTATCACAAAGATGGCCTGGACCAAGACATGAACATACCAGTTCAGCCCAGTTACCATTTGCTGAGGTTTCCTTTGCATAGTAAGGGACTGACAGGAGACAGGAGTAGCATCCTTGACACTCCACTGCTAACTGTGGTCAGCATGGCCAATAGGTCCCGTCATGCAACCCGCACCCACAGGGTTTGGTCAAAACTGGACTAGGGCCACATTAATACTACTGGCCACAGCTCAATGTCCTGAGCCTACCAGCTGGAGGCAGGGACAAGGGATCTGTTAGCATTGGGCAGCAGTGGCCTCCTTCAGATGCCATGCCACTCTATTCAGGTGACATGCCAGCTTGCTCCTTTGTGATGCCATCACCTAGCAGTACACTGAACCATCTGTTTGTCTTATTCAAAAGGTCAGGGGGTGCTGAGGGGGGTCAATAGCAGAAGGCTTGCCTACCACGACCTAGGGTCAATCCATAGCAGCAACAAAAACAACACACAGATATTCGTGTCTGGTCTTAACCCTGTCCATGTTATCCTGATTTTGAAAGAGAATTAAGGAAAATGCAAACTCCTCTCAAATGAAATGGAGAGGCTGCCAGGCTTGCTGACCATGCTCACAGACTTCCCAACCAGCAGACCTGGATTCAAATTCCAGCCCGTCGGTTTCCTCAGAGCACCTGCTCCTCATTTGACAGAAAATGACAAAGGTTGTTTCCAAGGATCCTACTGTGAGGCTTAACTGAGGCAGTCACATAAAGAAGCTGGCAAGAGCCGCCAATTAGTGTGTGTCTGTTAAATGGTGGGGTGGGCAAAGGTGCCAGGCAGGGAGAGGATGACAGGGGTGGTTGAAGGATGTCAGGGCAAGCACAGGCCTACAGGAATGGCTCACGTAGCAGCTGCCTCAGGTTTAAGAGGAACTAGAAGGGGGTTGTACCAAGCAACCTCGTGACCCCAGGCTTGAAGGGCAAAAGTTGAGAACATGAACCCAGCCTAAAGGGCAGCTTCCCGGGACAGCAGCCTGGGTGCCCTTGGATGCCTGGATGAAGCTCCCCAGATCCCTGCAGGCACCTCAGAGAAGCCCAGTGTGGTCATGGCCAAGGATCACCTACTGAGGCACAGAGCAGAGTGGAAAAAGAAGGGAAGATCCTGGGGTGCAAATGAGAGGCACCTCAGTCTCAGCCAGAGGCGGATTCTCTCATTGCATCCGGGCCTCACTCATTGGCTGGGATGGCCAGCGAGTTCAGGGTCCACCTACCACTGTCTCCCAGTGTTGATTCCAGATGCATGCAGCCACGCCCTGATTTTCATAGGGGTGCTAGGGATTTGAACCCAGGTCCTCGCGCTTACAAGGCAAGCCCTTTACCGACTGAGCCATCTCCCCAACCCTGTGTTTATTGCCAGACAGAAGAAAGACTCTACCCAAAGAGGCCAGATGGTTACTGATTCAAGAGAATTATTTTTTATTCTCTTTATTGCCGCTTCTCTGAGAACAGTGGTTGGGTCTCTAGGCTGTGAGAGGAACTACAAGGGACTGAGCACACAGTGCAGTGGGCCAGTAATGGGCATCAGGAACAGGAAAGCAGGGACGGGGACACCAGGTAACTCTGAGGAAGGAGAGGACGGCTTCTGACTCCACCCTGCTGCACTGCATCTGTGTGACTGATTCTGCCCTGTGATGTCATACAGTGTTGCCTAGGTGATCAGGCTGAATGGAAAACTCTGTACTTTCCCAGGACTGGGCAGAGCAAGGATCACCCCACTTCACCCTCCTGAGGGTGCCAGGAATCAATCCCCTAACTTCCTGTTTAGCTGGCCATGGCCCAAATACCCCCAAGCACCTCCACCCACAAAATCTCTCACTTCTGAGAGAGATCCAGATTGTATCCACCCACTTATACTTCCCCTACCCAGTCCAGACCCCAAAGTCAGCGTATGGCACCCATGGGACCATGCTGACGGACAGAGACTCAAGGCATCTGAGTCAGCTGTCTGGCAGGGCCAACAACTGATCACCTGCTAAGCCCTGGTGCTGATGCTAACCCCCAAGACCGTTAAGTGAACACTCCTGCCCCCAAGAGGATGGGACGGCAAAAGACAAAGGTGAGGCTGGGCCAGCAGCGGTCACAGCTGGGTGAGCTAGTCCTTGTTCTCCCATGGTAACAAAGGTGCTCCTTCTCTGGGCTTCAGTCACTGCTGTAAAGATATCCTGTTCTCTGAGGCTCTCAGAGATGAAACACAGTGTTCTCAGAGGTAGTTGCTGTCTCGGCTTGCCCTTGCCTGAGAGCCTGCTAATGTCGCCCATTGGTCACCGTACAATCCTTGGTTGTATGACTCTCTCTCTCTTCTCTTGCCTCATCCTTGCCTTTACCTTGAACAGAGATCTGGACTTTCTACAAGGAAGGGATTGGGGGGCAGTCTGTTTTGATCACTGATGTATCCCCGGCACTCAGATAGTGCATAGGACAGAGAAGGGCTTGATGAAGGACTTGTGGAAGAACAACAAGAACCTATGGGGATGGGACCAGAGCCCTGAAACACTCCTTGTATTTTGAGTCAGGGTCTCTCACTGAACCTGGAGCTCACTGATTGGCTAAACTGGCTGGCCAATGAGCTCCAGAGAACTAGGCTGCCTTTCTATATCCCTACCCCCAACCCTATCAGTACTGGGATCACAGAGTCAGTCTCTGCTCCTCGTGTGTTTTCAGGTTTTGTTGATTATCACCATATATCTAGAGCTCAGAACAAGGCCTGGCATATAGTGGGTGCTCAACCAAGTTGTGCTAGCAAGCCCTTTACCCCCTGAGCCATGCCAAGCCAGCTCCCTCGTTTTACTTCTTTTGCCGTTGCTCAGCTCATGACTTTAAAAAAAAAAAAAAAACTGGAATAATATTTCTAAATTTCAGTGCTCTTTGTTCATTAGAAATATTGTTTTATTTATGCAGCTTTCTCTCTTTTTTTTGTTCTTTTCCTTTGCTCTCTGTTACAGGGTCTCATTGTGTGGTCCTAGCTGGCCCAGAATTCAATGTGCATACCAGGGAAGCCTTCACATTTGTGGTGATCCTCCTTCCTCTGCTTCCTAGGGGATTAGATAGGATCCCAGGCATGAGCCACCAAGCCTGGTTATAATCAATACTGTAAGGCCTCCCTCCCAGTGCTGAAGATTGAATGCAAGGGTCTCATGCATGCCAGGCAGGCTCTCTACCTGCAAGCTCTCTCCCCAGCCTGAATTTTTAAAAACTAGAGTCAAACCTATCAATTATCTTTCTTATGATTTCTGAATTTTAACATTTTTTTTGTGTGTGTGGTGCTGAGGATCTAGCCTGGGGCCTTGGACATGCTCAGTATGTGCTCTCCACTGAGTTGCTCCGCAGTCCTAGGTCATAGTGTGAAAACAACACCACCGCTCTGGGTCATAGTGCAAAAAGGCGCTTCTGCGTCAGACACTGTGACTTCTTCCTGTCACCAGTCAATCCTCAGGCTGCAAGCCCTAGGGACAGACATAGTAACCCAGAAAAGGAGCCTGCATGAAGACGCATGAAAAGAGGGGAGAGGTCTCATATCCTGAGTCCTTTTCCTTAGTATAAAGGGACCTTACCAGCTATCCCAGTGCCTGGGCGAGGTCGGTCATCAAAGCTAGAAGGAGTGTGAAGTTCTGGTTTTCTTGTTGCTGCTGTTGGTGGTGGTGGTGGTGGCAAGTTGGTGTGTGTGTGTGTGTGTGTGTGTGTGTGTGTGTGCACGTGTGTGCGTGCAGAGTTCAGAGGATAACTTTTAGAAACTGGTGTTCTCCTACCTTGTTCTGAAGCAAGAGTTCTCTTGTTCCTGCCCATCCTACATGCCAGGGTAGTGACCTGTGGGTTTCTGGGCAATTTTCTTGCCTCCATCTTGTCTCAGCAGTGCTAAGATTATAGATGCATGACACCTCATCTGACTTTGTATATGGGTCACAGGGATCTTCCTCACGTTGTCAGGCTTATCCTGCAGGAGTTTCTGCCTGCTGAGCCATCTCACTGGCCTGAGAGACCACTTTTTAAGCTCAACATCCACCAGAACCTAATAATTTGCCCAAATGGCATATCAGAGTCCCAAGACTCTCTCAGTTCAGCATCGCTCTTGAGGAACAGCCTCTTCAGCTGGGGTGCTTTCAGATATGGACCCTTCTGGGAGCGAGATATGAGCTTCTTAGCATTCCATGTCTCCCCAGGTTGCTGGAAGAGCAGACAGGCTGGAGTGAGTCTTGTCTCATCCCTCTCCCTGGCAGGGCCGCCTGAGGCCTGACTTGTCAGCTGCTGCTCCCAATGCCTCCTCACATCCCACTCCTTTCTCAGACCTCCAATAGTGTCCCAAGCAATGAGCCTTCTGGGATTCTCAAGGATATCTGCTGGCTACTGTTGGTTTGTGGAGGATAAGTTTATTTGCAAGGATGGAAGGACGTTGGGGTTAGCAGCTTGCAAGTCTGCCCAGGGCCCAAGCCCTAAGCGGGGTGGCTGAGGGAACTCTGCCTGGAAACTGGCAGACTTCGTGCTTACCACCAGCCCGTTGTCTGTGGGCTGTGAGACTGTAGTCTGCTGATTTCTGTATCTTAACAGTGCTGCATGGGCGAATGGGGCCTGAGAGGCTGTGATGAGCTTGGAGTTCTGCTCTCATGGAGAAAGATTCTCTGCCCGGGGTCAGCTTCTTAGCCCACAATTCCTCCTCACCATATAACCATATATATGACCTACGTTAGGTTATAATATATATATGTGGTTATATTAGGTTATAATATTTATAATATATAATATAATATATATTATATTAGGTTATAATGTGTGTGTGTTTGTGTGTGTGTATATATATATACATATACATGTTATATATGAATATATGTTATATTCCTCCACAAATTCTTTAGTATAACCAGGGCAGAAACAGGCAGAGCACATTGGTTCTGATGCAAAGACAGGACACCACAAGGTAGGAAAGAGGCAAAGGGAAGGTGGCAGCCCAGGCTCATCACGCATCTACCCCCTACAGGCATACCTTGGGCCTAGCCTCCCAGACCCTAGGCCCAGCAAGTTCATGAGCTACATGCCTACAGGCCTCTCCAGGAGGTGCCTGCCTAGCAAGTGGCCTCAAGCACACACGTGAAGCACACACATGAAGTACAAGCAGTACTTCTGCAACCACTGTTTCGGGGAAGGCTCCCCTGAGAGGGCCCCATGGAGGAGATGGGGAAAGAAGATACCCAAATCCCTGGACCTGGCAGAGGCCTGCTGGCCTCCAGGGCTGCCAAAGATTCATGGAAACCTTTAGATAATTGTCATGTGGAGGGGCCTTCACTTCTGTGGCCCCAGGATGCCCATAGCAGGCTTGCGTCCTCATAGCAGCAAGGATGTTCATCTGGCAGTGCCAAGGATATCACTCAACTCTCCTAGCCTAACTTCACAGAACTCAGACACACCAATCCCTAGAAAAGTCAAATTACAAATCATTATAGACATTCCCACAGGTGTGCAGGGAAACTGGCTCTGAGAGGGAGCATCTCAGAAGGGACAGAGGTGCTATGACCCAGGTCTCTTGGCTTGCCAGCTGCTGTCACAGAACACAGGAAAGCAAACCTGCTGGGTGACCTCAGTGTGGCAGGGCACACAGTGAGAACAATGTTCTAGAAGGAAGTCCTCTGACTTAAGGGAGGCTGTGGTCTGTGAATGCTCCACCTAGCAGGGCTCCCCTCCCTTATACCTACCTTTACCATGCAGGGGGGTGGGTACCTCCCCTTCCAACCCTCCCTTACCATGCAGTGGGATGGGCAACTCTCATCAACACCTCTGCAGGTGGTGACAGGCCCTGCTGGGTCCTGTTGGGGGAGGGAGGGAGTTCAGTCCTCAGTCATAGGCAGAGGAGGATTCTGCAGAACTGGCGTGTCTAAGGCTGGGAAGCCCTGTTCTCACCTCCTAATGAGACAACTTGTTAGGCAGGGACTGCAGCCTGCAGCAAGAGAGGGACGCAGCAGGGGATGTGGGCTTGGAATCTTCTGGAAAGAGCTGCCCCAGCAAAGGAAATACCAGGACAAAGGCTGGGGGGCGGGGGCCGACTGAGGATGAATGAAGGGAGTTTTGGTTCCTGTTGTGGTCATCCATGCAGTACCAGGGGCCCTGAGAATAGAGCTAAGCAGCATTCACAAATGTTCCCAGGGCTAAGTCATGCTGTTTCCTTTTCTAGTGCTAGGAGGCAGGAGGGTGGAGCAGAGTGGTGGTTCCTGTCTGGCCCCAGCCCTCATTGTCCCATAGGATGTATATGAGATGCTAAGACCTGAGGAGCAGGTGGCATTGAGGAGTTACAGACAGAGGTACCCGCAGAAGCTTACAGAGAGACTGTGCCTGCAACAGAGGGCATTACCAAAGCCTAGGAAGAAACAAGAGAGACCCCAAAGGATAGACAGTGTATGAGGCAGAGGTCTGGAGAAAAATGGCTTCATGGGCTACTGTACTGTAGTTCAGAAAGCAGGGTAATGCTACAGAGGGGAGAAGGTACTGGAAGGAATAGACAGTCAGACCTATCCAGCCTACAGACTACAGGCTATATCCAGCCTCTTGCAGCCAGGACTCTAGGTGAACACAGCTCAACACAAAATCATAGCATAGACTTACTTAAAACCCAAAACTTGTGTTTTTCCATTTTATTATTTGTATTTTATCTATTGTTATTGTGTGTGTGCACACGTGTGCACATGTGACTGCAGGTGCATGTGGCCCATAGCACACATGTAGAGATCAGAAGGAAACCGTTGTCGAGTCAGTTTTCTCTTCCAACCAGGGGTTTCTGGACTCCGCCTCAGGTCATCAGGCTGACACAGCAAAGGGTGAACAACTCACTGACATTGGCAAAAAGGTCTCATGTAACCCAGGCTAGCCTCCAACTGAAGTAGCTAAAGATGCCCTTGAACTTCTGATCCTTTTTGGTCCTCCTGCCTCTACCTGTTGAGGACTGGGATTATATATGTATACCACCATCGGTGGTTTTTATGAAATTTCTTCCTGAATTTTGTTTTGTTTTGTAATTCATGCATGGTTCCCTAGCCAAAATTATAATGTCAAAAGCTTCCAATGCTTGGTAGAGGTTATGGGTGATGGTAGGGAGTTTTCTGTCAGATGAGTTTGCTTAGCCCTGGCTCTCCCTACAGGTTCCTGGAGAGCCAGTGGAGCCCCTGGATACCTCTCCGGATCTAGATCCTGACACCAGCTACCTGGCTCCCTGTAATAAGGAGACTGTTGTGGTCACTCTGCATGGAGCTACTGACCTTCCTGCTAGCAAGGACGGCTCTGATCCAAGGCCCTATGTGATGGTGTAAGTGGCTGGGGAAGCAGGGTTAGAGGTGGGGCTGGGGCTGGAAACAGAAACCATCTGATGAATGTCTGGAAGCTGAACTCCCGAAGGGAGTGTGGTACCCAGAGGTGTCATACTAAGACTGTACAAATGAGAAGCCTGTCCTGTTCCCTGCTGCCAGGGCTGAGCAGGGCCTGACCTCCCCAGGGCAAGGCCCTTGTCTGCAGTGCCTATGCTGGGCTCAGTGTGGGATATGGATAGTCAGAGGAAACGCTATAAGCACAGATCTGAGTTCCAGGACATCTGAAGTTTGTCTTAAGGAAAAAGAGAAAAGAACAAGGGGCACATACAATAGAAACAGCACCCCTAAGAATGGGATGTGTTAGTGTGCTGGAAAGGCAATCATGGAAAAACTCAGCATGAACTCGTTACCTTCTACTGGTCATTTATATCCCATCCATGTATGGAACAGGCTATTTCCTGGAGTCCTGTTTGTTACATGAAGCCTGGGTAGGGAATGGCTTCCTATGTTTCTTTGCCAATGGGCTCTTTGCCCGATTCAATCTTTATGCAGCTTTCTGCAGCTTTCTGAAGTCCTTCCTTACTCTCTTGCCACAGAAAGACTTGGCGTCTGCCTCTCCTGGCTTTTGGGGGTCCCAAGAGGTTATGCTGCTTGCAGGCGCCTCTGTGGGCCCTTGCTTCTCACTTCTGCTATAAAGACTTCTCGTTCTTTAATGCATTTCTCTCCCTTTTTTCTCCCTCTCTCTCAGTGCATCCTTGTTTAGCCTGGTGGCCAGGGCCTGCCATGTCATGTCTGCTGCCCACCTCAGAAACCTCATTTCTCCTCAAAGAGCATATGAGGCAATGCCATAGCCAGCCAGCTTTGCCTCTGGAGGGACATTAGTACTGTGCTAGAATGGGGGCTTTCTGGCTTCTGCAATCTCCCACAGTTCTACCTGACACCCACCTGCCTGCACCCCTGCCTGCACCCCTGCCTGCACCAGGCACTTCCTACCCACTGCTCAGTCCCTTTGGAGAATGCCTGCCCTAGCCCTCCTGCACACAACACTGAATCTCCACTTTCAAAGCATTCCTCCCGCCTCCTCCAGGCAGTCAGATCTACCAGAGTAGATCCCCTAGCAACGGCAGCACACGTGTGTCTCTAGTCTGTCCCCAGAACGGAGGCTTCTTGCAGATCTCAAGTCTTATTCTCCATTTCTCCAGCCGTGCACCCAACATGGTCACAGACTAATGGACCTAGGATGCAAAACTTGGCTAAGATGACAAGCAGTCCTTCACCCACCCCCTCTCCCACAAGGTACAGAGGCTGTGCTGAAGAACAACAGGTGCAGAAGCTCTTGCCTGGTTTGCCCAGAAAAACCCCACTAGCCCCAGCCCAGCTTCTTGCCCTCCCCTCCCCCAACTCCATTTTTTAACCAGGGAAGGGACAGGTGGCAGAAAGCTGCTTGGCGGGAGGTTGGTTTCTATTGGGAAATGTCCCTTGGCTTCTCAGCTATTTCCATAAACCAATTATCACTGATCATCTCAGGAGATTGAGGCCCTGCTTGTCACCAATCCAGCCTGGGCTGTGGAGGGGAGGGGAGCTGGATGGCTGTGTTGCTCCAAGACCCTTGCCCCATCACCCTGTTGCCATAGGAACATGCAAGGGAGGAGAGTCTAGGGGACATGAGCCTGGATAGGAGTGTGAAGCGCTGAGAACATCCTGGTTCCTCTGACCCATCAGCACAGCATGCAGTGTAAAAAGTGAGAGGCATGCACCCCTACTTCCTTTTTCATGATGGGAGCAGGGCCTGTGCCAGGCTACAGCCTGGTCCCAGAGCTCCAGGCTGAGCTGCCAGCAGCTCCAAGTGGTGCTAATGAGATGCAAATGAAAAGAAGAAGGGAGGGCTTCTGGGAATGAAGGCCCAGCTGCCAGGACCAAGAGCTGGCTTTCAGGGCTAACCTCCAGCCCCAGGTAGGACTCCCAGAGGGAGGAACAAGAACTCCCAAGGCTCTAGAGTTGGGCCCTAGACCCCCAGGAAGAGTTTGATGTCTTCCCAGAAATAATTACAATGTGGAACAACAAAGTATGCAATAAGAAAGTCCACTAAAGTCTTTTCTCATATGGATATTTCAATGTGTGTGTTTTTTTAATTATAAACATTTGAATGTAAAATCTGAAACTGTTAAGATCTAGAAGTAAACAGTTTCCCCTAGGATCCTTACATTGGTCTTGGCAACGATTTTTTTTTTTAATTTGACATCAAAAGTACAAGCAATGAAAGCAAAATAAACAAGTGGGTGACAAGAAGCTGAAAAGCTCCGTGCAGCAAAGGAAAATCTCCACTGACTTGAAGAAGCAGAATGGGCTAAAACACATGCGCACCACACATCTAATGAGGAGTCGATGCCCAGAGAGTATGGAGAGCTACACCCTCCAGTACCAGAAAACCAACTGGATTTTTAAAAAGGATCCTGATAAGGCAGCACACACCTTTGATCCCAGATACAAAGAGGCAGAGGCCAGTAGATCTCTGGGAGTTCAGGACAGCCTGGTCTACAAAGTGAGCTCCAGAACAGCCAGGGACACAAAGTGAGACCCTGTCTCAAAACAACAAGAACAACGAGAACCAAAGCAATAGCAGGCAGAGGAGCCAGAAGTATAGCTCCAAGGTAGAGTGCTTGCCTCACATATACCACACCCTGAGTTTGATCCCCAGCCAAACCTAGTTTGTCAGCACTTGGCCACTGGGGAAGATCAGAAGTTCAAGGCCATCATCCTTGGCTATGCAGTGAACTCAAAACTAGCCCATGCTGCACGAGACTCTTTTAAATAAGTGCGTACAACTGGGTGGCAGGCGACAGGAAAAGGTGCTCAGCACTGCTTATCACCTCAGATGTACAAGTCAGAACCTGAAGGCCATCCCACCCATACCTGTTAAGTTGATTGTTATCAGAAAGACAAGGAGTAGCCAGAATTGGGGCACTTGAGATGACTCAGAAGGTAAAAGTGTTTGTCACCAAGTGTGACAATTTGAGTTCAACCCTGGAACCCACATATAAGAGAGAACTGATTCCCACAAGTTATTCTCTGACCACGCATACACCATGGCCCATGTGCCACTCCACCCCATGAACACTCAGACAAACAAAATTAATTGTTTAATTAATTAAATGCAAATATTGGTAAGGATGTGGAAGGAAGGAAATCGCTCTACACTGTGGCTAGAAATGCAGATTCATACAGTGGAAAACACCATGGATGCTCCTCAGACATTAAAAATAGGATTAGTATAGATCAATCCTACCTCTGTATACATATCCAAAGGAAATGAAGTCAGTATCGTGAAGCAATGTCTGCATCCCTGTATTATAGCATCATCACATGAAGAGATGGAATAAACTTAAACATCTGCCCATCAATGAATGGGGAAATTACACACACACACACACATACACACATATGCACATACATACACATGTCATGTGTAACTTCCTCTAACACGGAAGACATAATGTTAAGTTAAATAAGCCAGACATATAAAGACAAATACCACATTATTTCTTTTAATGCAGAATCTTGTTGAATTCACAAAACAGAGAGTAGAAAAACAGTGCCAGGATCTAGGAATGTAGAAAATAGGGAGATGTCAATCAGAGAGTCCAAACATCTACCTTCAAGGTGAATACATTTGGGAATCTACTCTATAGTACGGTAACTGTAGTTAATATTGCATTGTAGACTTTTAATGTGGTGAGTTCTTGGCACTCCCACCACATACACACAAAAGGATAACTGTGAAGGGCTGAGTGTGTTAGCCTGATTCCATGGTATTGTTCATAGTAGGTAAGTATGTCAAATCCTATTATACATTTTTAATACATACTATTTTTACTTTCCAATTAGACCCCAATTAGGTCAGAACACACACACACACACACACACACACACACACACACACACACACACA